ATCACTGAATCGATTTAGATTTATTTTGGCACGATGAAGGAAGAAGATGGAGAAGGACATCAGCTACTTTGTCGCGTAAACAAAGTTTGGAAGTTGATGAATTAGGGAATAAAGAGTTCAAATGTCACTAGACAATTACATGACGCCAAATCCGTAAGACCTTTCTCGCAACGCCTTCAATGATCAGCAGTTGTAACTGTTGCGAAAAAAACATCCAACCACCCGACAATACTAACTTGACAAATGCGAAAACTCTTGTTGCCACGCTGTGCTCGTTGCCAAAAGTGCCAAAATGACCCACATTAATACTGCAACAAAACTCTCGAGCCATTCTCAACTTAAAGCCTAATAATTATAAAGAATCAAATGCCGGGTAGCTTGCTAGCTTTTCGTGCATGCATGCAATTTTTGACTTTAATACAGGAGTTATAAAGTTTTAAGTTTACGTTGCGGTATTGCGTTTCTCTCTAACGTAACCTTCCGCGAGATGTCTGCGACCTCGGCTCTATCACGTTCAAGGTTTGATTCTCCGTATGCGGCAAACGATTTTGCTCTTTAATGCTTTCAAAAATAGAGTTGTTTATTTTTCACGCGGCCTCTCTAAAGTCATGGTGAAATTTTCGTAATTCTTCTTCTTGATGAGTTTTGTTCGTTACGACTTTCAATGTGGGTATTTAAGATTCGTGGTTTCGTAAGTACTGAAGTATTTTAGATTAAATATCGGTCACATTCAGAAACTCTAATAATGGAATATAATAAACACGTGACTCGATAAAACATTGAATTTAATGGTAGTTCCTGAGTGCCGCCTGAATTATATAACAGGTTTTTTCATTTTTACTAAATGAAAATTCGAATCCAGTTACGCTAAATAAGGCTTTAAATACCTGGTTATTAAAGTACATTTTTGTACGTCGTCTATTCAAATTGTTGCGTTCTATTAGATAAAAAATACATTAATATTTAATAATTTATGAATTAAACAATTAACGGGTATCGATCAATAAGTATCTTGATATGTTTACCAACGCATATTAATGGAAATGGAAATACACACTTTACTCGATTGTTAGAAGACATTGAAGCAATTTGATACTTGTGTGGTAGAATTAAAATTTGCCTGTTCTTTCTTTGTTATTTAGTTAAGATATTTTCGTGAGCCAGTTATAGCGTTTTCAATAATTGGTACTCACGGGGTAAAGTTACTTTATATATTGGGAACTCGAATTAATCTTTTCAAAGTTATAGTGTAAACGTTTTTTTCTAAATGTACAAAAATATTGCTAATTTCCTTTTTAAATAATGCTATGTACACATTTGGATTCAGTAGACATAGCTATAATTTATTTGCAATCCTGTTTTAAGTGTCATTAGATGACTAGCATATATTCAGACAACAATTCTGTCTCTCTCTGGTTTAATTATTATATCACTGCTGGGGCATAGGCCTTCCCTATGGGTGGAATAGGGAGATTGGACCGTGACCCACTAAGCGGGCCCAGTGCGGATTGGTGGGTGCTAACGACTGCAGATGCAGCCGAGACCAACGGCTTAGCGTGCCTTCCGAAACACGGCGGAGCCCGAGATAGTAAATTTTTGGTCACCGATCCAATGACCGAAGAACGCGAAGTTCTCCAACATTTACGCACTTATTTTTAAACACAGATAACCCTTATGATATGATAATCTCGCTTGCAATCGAACAGCCCTTGAGTGGTTCAAATAAAGCGTCTCTTCGTCACCCATGAATGGTCAGCCCTATGATGCGACGCAGTTGCCAAGGTCCCGCATTGCAGCGCTATCAAGTTAATCGAACATCCTCGATTACAACGTTGCACCATATTTTTTCATAAAACTTTCTAAATAACTTCATGCCACCTTCAAGTTAGATATGAGTATTAGTGGTGAGAAAATTCGCTTTGGTAGGTAGTCAAACGTCGCGGCCAATAGAACAGGGTACCGCGTATCACCCGCACTCCTGACGCGCTTTGGGGGGACTGCGGTCCTCGGAATGCACGCCAGGTGACCGGTGCAGGAGTATTGTCTGGTTTTTAGTGACCCTGTTCAGGGCGTTCGTAGGGCCCTGTTCACATCAACGAGCCTTAGGGCTGGCTGATCTGGGCAGGAGGAGTCCCACATACCTTCTTCTCGCTCCCCCAGTGGTTGAAGGTCGATGACGACCTCCGTGGTCGAGTGGTTTGTACGCCGGGTTTCATGGTGTCGCCGACTTGAGAGGTCCCGGGTTCAAATCCCGGTGGGGACAGATGTTTGTGTGATGAATACGAGCATTTGTACTCCAGTTATGGATGTTTAAAATTTCTATAAAAAAAATATACTTATATATGTACAGTTTATGTATTCTATCCGTTACCCTAGTATCCCATAACACAAGCCTTATAGTGCTTACTTTGGGGCTAGGCTAATTGGTGTGAGTGTTGGAAATATTTATATTTATATATTTATGAAGGATGCGTAAGGCATTTCCCAGACATAAAAAAAGGTAGTCAAACGTGCTTCTCTAGCCATCTCATGGCGCGAGTGATATTTTTGGTACCTATAGCAAACGTCTATAGGCTGCGCTGGTGGTCGCTTACCATCAGGCGGCCATACGCTTGTATAACACCCTTTTAACGTAATAAAAAACAATACTTAATTTAATCAAAATTTGTTTATTCAACATAACAATATTTCGCCAATGATAATATTTTAGCTTACGCCGTCTAGTCCAACGTTGAGTTACATCAGAGAATAGCACTGTACGGAAGCCGCTAGATACGGCGACCTCGAGTAAGGTCGCGGTATTCCATCTGGCTACATTTCACGGAAGTGCCCAACATACGTGAAAGTTGAGCAAAATTTAATAGCTACTCGAATTCTTGTGAGTCGTAGTTGCTATTTGTATACTTGACATAGTCTATCTTTATCATGCTTTTTAAGGAATGAAAGGGACAGACTGATGTCAAGTTTACAAATGGCAAACACAAATAGACAAGTACTTTACTTGTCTATTTGTAAACTGCTGGCATAATATAGTAGTGTAGTTACGCGAATTCTTGGTAGTCGTATTAGGATTATATGTATCCGTAACAGTAGGCAGCTAAATTACGGACGCAGATATAAAAATGGTTATTAACAGACCTAAGAACTATGAGGTTTACTTTTCAATGTTACATGTACTAACTTGAAGACTATGCGATAAGGAATTTAAATATTATAATTTATAGTCTAGGAATCTGTCACTTTTGTTTCCATATATTTATGCCCACTTACAGCAAAAGTTTTTATATTAAAATTAAACGCTAATCATGTTTAAATCTCGTTATATCTCTTTTTGACGTCAAACAATTGACCTTAGTTTGAATTAAAATTATCAGACCAAGAAGCCTTAAATTAAAATCGTGTTTGATAAAATAAATAAGAACATGTAGTTAATAAATAAATTATATAAATACTGACAAACAAAAAAAAACCGCCTACCATCGCCATGATATGGGAATGAAACTTATTAACTAATCTCAACGAGATATCCTTACCGTAACTGTTACATGAATTATACAATCCAGAGTAAATATTTAATTTCATTCATATCAAGAGCACAGTTACACCACATGGGTAAAGTAAGCATAGAGGGAAAACTTCATTGAATTGGAATGATGAGTAACTTATTTTTTCTTCATCTATCAGGTAGATTATGAAAAGGTATTGGACACGTATTTTTCTTTGTGATTTTTTTTTCACACAATGAAAACATTACAGAAACATAGGTATATTGATTTGAAATGTCGCATGACATCACGTCTTGGTACAATTTTTACTTAGAAGTAACGCGGCGAGGAGACGTGAGAAGCTCGATAGCGCAAGTGGTTAGCGCCTTCGGCTGCGATCGTTCAAGTTGAGCAACTTTCGCAGTAGTCGGTTATTGGATGGGTGACCAAAAATCTTCTATCTCGAGTAATCCGTGCTTCGGAAGGCACGTTAAGCTGTTGGTCCCGGCTGTATCTGCAGTCGTTAGCACCCACCAATCTGTACTGGGCCCGCGTGGTGGATCACGGCTCAATTTCCCTATACCATTCATAGGGAAGCCCTGTGCCCCAGCAGTGGGGACATTAATTGGCTGATGATGATGAACGTAACGAGCCCCCTTTCCCAAACTTTGACGCTCTCTACATTTGTAATTTTTTGGTTGATTTACAAAAGAATTAATAGGTGGCATTATTTTTTGGCACTGTAACTCACTGACTACATCGAATTTCGTTAACATTTCCCCGTCATCTTCGCTATTGCGCGCGCGCGAGTGCCTGTCGCGTACGCAGAACGTTTCTATTGGCGGCGATAGGCTTCCAGTGCTTACTCACACACGCGCACTGCATGAAGCTGTGCCTCTGTGCCTTCTTTACTTATGTACACTACCGCTTCACATTATAAGAAGAGATAAGCGGGTTGCCTCACTCTCCCAACTGATTTATGGAGAGTAGTGTACGAAAAGGTCTTATCTCAAATATGGCTATTTTTCTCAACTGTCATTAGAACTGGGAGTGGATGAGAGATTTTCATTTCAGTGTTCGGTTATGGAAGGTTGTAACCACGTAAATTGACATACGTGAAAATTATCGGTATTAACGATAATATGTATTTATTTATTACTTTTTTAATTAAATTGTTCGTTACGGTGATAGTAATGAAATTAATCGAAGTCGTTTTCGTCTACGGTCGCATTCAGAAGCCTCAATTTAATTTAGTGCTTGTCTTGACAAAGGAGAAAGGGGCAACATCCACTTATTCAATTCAAAAAAATATTGACTATTCGAGCGCATACGCACAGCCTCAACTATATAATGAAACTTAAGAAAATTGTCGTGTCAAAATGCGGCCTATAAATATAATATACGGTATGTCAAAAACGTGTATCTAAGTCGTTAGACCAAGCATTGATACATCACTCTTAATTGCGTCTCTTTAAAATAACAACATTTAATAGTTCATTTTTCCATTGTCTCCAGGCCGTCGACTGGTGGTCCGTTGGTGTGTTGACCTACGAGCTGCTCACCGGCGCCTCCCCGTTCACAGTGGAAGGCGAGAAGAACACCCAGCAGGAGATCACCAAGCGGATAGTTCGCTGCAGCTACCCCGTTCCTACGGACGTCAGCCCCGAAGTGCAGGACTTCATAAAGAAGTAAGTAATTATCTCGAGGAGCTCGATGGCGCAAGTGGTTAGCGCGGTCGGCTGCGATCGTTGAAGTTGAGTAGCTTTTGTGGTGATCGGTCATTGGATGGGTGACCAAAAATTTTGTATCTTGAACACCTCCGTTCTTCGGAAGGCACATTAAGCTGTTGATCCCGGCTACATCTGTAGTGACCACCAATCCGCACTGGACCCGTGTGGTGCGTCACAGTCACACTCCCTATTCCATCCATGGGGAAGGCATCTGCCCCAGCAGTGGGTTCATTAAATGTCATGTAATGTAACAATGATTCCATATAGCATAATCAACTTTAGGTCTTTCTAAATAAAATTGCATTTCGTTCGCAGGCTCCTAGTGAAGGACCCTCGTCGTCGGCTTGGCGGTGGCGACCTGGACGCAGAAGAACTCAAGAGGCACCCGTTTTTCCAGGTTAGATCATAGCGTAGAGGTTAGTTGGTGTCAGGTTTTTCGACACCTTACTTAATACCTATTTGTTTATATAAAAGTTTATATGAGAAAGTCATGTCAGCTATTTTACTGTATATGACCTAACTAAAATGATAAAATCCTGTAACTGTAGATACCTACTTACGGCAATTTCCAATAAGAAAAATTTGCATTAAAAACATTTTCTTTAAACGGCGAGTGATATTTTTGGTGTCGCAAAGGCTTGCGAGGGATAAATAATAGAGGCTATGGTGGCTGCTTACTAGTGGTGTAACGAATATTCGCATTCGCGAACATTCGCATTCGCGAACATTCGCATATTTTTGAATATTCGCATTCACATTCGCATTCGCAAAATCTCTGCGAATGTTTTGCGAATATGAATATTAGAAAAAAACAATTTGAAGAAGTTGTAGTTCTGTCTTTCCTTGAATATTCATTGTTACACAGTTTGCATTTAGCTCGTTCAGCATCGCAAAGTGTGAAATAAGTCCATGTTTCACTAGAATTCGATTTACTCATGTTAATAAATCACTATTACCACTCACAATCACTAACCTCAAAATTCACTTGTTTTGTTTACGGAAAGACCGGTGCGAGCGGAATGACACTTCAGTCGGATGAGTTCATATCAACTCGGCAATTCGAACGAGACTGCCACCATGCCATAGACAATTGGCGCCAATTTAAAAAAAAAAACTAAATATTCGCATACGCATTCGCGAATGTCGGTACCAGACATTCGCATCCGCATTCGCGAATGTTCAAAAAATGACATTCGTTACATCACTACTGCTTACCATTAGTCGGGCCACATGCTTATTTACCGCCCTGTTAACATAATATTCATGCCAATTTAGTCGAACTGTTTAAACTTGCTTATTTGATCAAATTACTTGAATGTCCATGGCACCCAATCCCAATTTAAAATAAAAATTTTACTAGTTTTCTTTTCAAGATAGGTATGTGGATTTTGACTTTAAGTTAACCAATCTCCCTTCAACCAGGAGTTGGACTGGGAGGCAATAGCAAGACGCGACCTGCCAGCGCCGTTCGTTCCGGCTCTGTCCCACGCGGCGGACACATGCAACTTCGCCGACGAATTCACCAGAATGCCGCCCACAGACTCGCCTGCACAAGCGCCTAAACACCACGATAAACTGTTCTTAGGTGAGTTATTATAAGGATTATTTAACAGACCTTACCCTAAGAACCACGATAAACTGTTCTTGGAATTGTTATATGGATTATTTAACAGACCTTACCCTAAACACCACGATAAACTGTTCTGGGTTGAGTTATAGGGGTTATTTAACAGACCTTTCTCTTAAAACCACGATAAATTGTTCTTAGGTGAGTTTGAGGGGTTTTTAAACAGTAAAATTAAATTTTCCTCTGCTGTCAGGATCTCATAAAACCAAATTCAGAGAAGACAACTTAGACAAAGCCTTTTGACTCAGACGAATAAAAGCCTTTTCTTCCCGCAGGTTATTCGTATGTGGCGCCCAGTATATTGTTTTCGGAGAACATCATATCAGACCAAATCTGGATGCAGGCCACCGGACAGAAACACGATAAACTTAAAGGATGGGTAGCGAAGGTACGTATGATGTGTGGCATATAGAGCTTAGGATTCCATAAAATACAGAGGTCAAATTTTTGTTCTACGACAAATATTGACGGAGCTATTACCAAATTACTAAACGAATTTTCGTCTGGCCGCGTGGTGGCTGTGACGTCACAGAGCTCTAGCGCTCGGCCGCGAGCGTGCGTAGAGCCGCTACTGAAGTTCGACCGAAGTGAACCACGATCGAGCTCTGTGACGTCACACGGTTCGGCCGTATATTAATTAAAAAGCTGAGTAGATAGTTATACTGTTGATTTTGAGTTGATTTGCTGGCGTAGTAAAGATCCTTACTGTGGTGAGGGTGGGAAATATTATTATTATTATAATAATAATAAATTCTTTATTTTATTTCTTCACATAAGTGGAAAAAAAAATATAATCGTGTAGTAGCATTTTTTCTCTAATTTTATTCATTCTTTCAGGATTCACCGTTCTTCCAAAAGTACGCTGTCGACCTTAGTACCCCACTTCTAGGCGACGGTTCCTACTCTGTATGTAGGAAATGTATACACAGACAGACCGGCAAAGAGTACGCTGTTAAGGTGAGATAAACGACTCTATTGCTTTAACTTTAAGGCTTGGTTTAGTAGTAAATTATTGATAGTTAACTTTTATGCCTTGCGAGTAACCTGAACCGAGAAGAAGAACCTGAAGAACCGAGTGCCAAAGCACGATCTTTGACAGCGTCGTAATCGTATCGCATCGTCAATGTTTCTATGAAAATTAAGCAGCGCCCCCTACCGGATGTAAGAACAAAGTGGCTCCTTCCATACAAAATTTGACGATGACGATACGATTACGGAGCTCTCAATGTTTGTGCTTGGGCCTCCGACTTAGAAATTGTGTTGGTATCTTTTTGATTATCGAAAAGTAAAGATGCCGAAAAAAAATTTTACTAGAAAAATATTCCACTTGATTTTTTTTTATTTAAACATCTAGTAGTTACATATATATGAACAATGGTCCAATTATTGGGAATTAGTGCGGAAACCGCCTCTTGAAATAATCTAGTAGTGAAAAGTTAAAAAAAATATAAAACAGTTTAAAATTGGATTTTTTTTTATTTACATTAATATTTCTCATAACAAAGGAAGGATGTGGAGTGGGAAGAGTTTTCTATATGCCTCTCACTCAGTAGTTTAAGGGAATAATCTTTCTCGAAGTCTCGTTAATTTTATTAATTTTGATATTTTTTATTTCATTTAAGATTATGAGTAACTTATCACAATTTATTCTTTGACCATTTTTAGTAAACCCCACTTATTCTACTTAATAATTTTATTTATTTTGACGTCACTGAACCTTATTAATGTAATTATCTTCTATAACCTGTAATATTTGAACGTTGACATTCAACAAAATAGGCTGGAAACCAAAGAAATACCTAACAACTATTGTAACCATATTTTGGCAAATAAATGATTATTATTGTTATTATCGAAATATGTACTAGTATTTTGAATCATTGAAATTATTGGTAAAAAGTTTTCCTTTTTAATAAAATAGGGATGATATTTTTTTTCTTCGTTTATCGAGTAGATTATCAAAAAGTATTATACACGTATTTTTTCTTTTTTCAGATAATATAAACATTGCAGAGATATATTGATTTGAAAAGTCGCATGACGGCACGTTTTGGTACAATTTTCACTTAAAAGTGACGTCACGAGCCCCTACTCCCAAATTTTGACGCGCTATAACTTTGTCATTTTTTGGTTGATTGCCCAAAGAAAAACTACGTGTCCATTATTTTTTGATCATCTAACTGACGGACTAAATAGAATTTCGTTTACTGTACCCCATCATTACCTCTATTATCCAGTTGGATGCTTTACTTAAAATTCATATCAATTTTAATAAATTTATTAAATAAAAACATATATAATTTAGTAATTACCTACTTAATTAAAATTACCAAATAATGTAGTAATATTTAATATTTTCTTCCATCAGATAATCTCGACGCAGAAGAAGGATGTGAGACAAGAAATAGAACTATTGAAAGCATGCCAGGGGTGCCCCTACATCATCACTTTGCATGAAGTATTTCAAGATTCGGTGAGTTGCCATTTCTTCATCATCATCTTCAACATCAGCCTATTAATGTCCCCACTGCTGGAAAATCAATGTTGTCAAAATTAATAATTGAGGAGCTGGCGAACAAAACGGCATAATTCCACAAAATTTAAATTATACAGGAGCTGTATAAAACTGAATGACATACCTACAGTGAGGTTTTGGCATGGTTTTTAACTTATAAATTTAGTAATTTTAACATTGTTTCAGGTGGTTTTGATTGAAAATTATTTGAGATTCAAAATCAACGGACCCGAAACCTCCGGACTGTAAAAAAAAAGTAGTTTGACCAGATGCGTAATTATACCGTTTTGTCTGCCAGCTCCTCAATTCATATACCTATGAAACATATTTTACATGTGTCATATAATATTGCCGTGTTAGACTTCAAAAACTTGTGATTTTGTACCTAAACTCATATTTTCCCCCTTATTCCTAACTGCGGACTAAAGTTAGTCTTGGCTTAAACCTGATGTTGTCTGCCTTCTTTTTATCAAACAAAAGTGACAACATCAGTTTGAGGCCAGGTATAACTGTAGTCCACTTTTTGTAATAAGGCAGTGACTCCCTTATTACTAAACGAAGAATAAGCTTGGATTAGTTACTCCATGTTTTGTCTCTGTTCACTGAATGTGCGGCGGCGACATCTACATGCCCCACATATAATTATTAACATGAAGGATAAATAATCACTCGCCTCCTCAAGAGATGGCGCTACCGGCGCTGCGCTCACAACGTATGGAAGCCTACATCGCGCAAGTGAAATTCGGAGGCTAACACTCCATATATACAATGCCCGACCAACATCAGCTAGGAGGAAGATCTTCCCCTTTAGCCTTCCTACAAATGACAAATGGCATGGTGCTATATGAACAAAACACGGCGTAACTAGTCTGAAGCTTATTCCAGGTTAATTAATAAGAGGGTTTTAGTGTCTAAAATATATTATTATAATTATGTTTTCCATCTGTCCACAGGCTTTCACGTACATAGTGACGGAATTAGCGTGCGGTGGAGAATTGGCCAATCATTTATCGGGAGGAATAGAAGAAAGAGTTGCTAGAAGATTATTGGCACAGCTAGCTCTAGCCGTCAGCCATATGCATTCACGGGGCGCTGTGCATAGGGACTTGAAGCCAGAGGTGAATAAATAAATAAATAATAAATAAATATTTCCAACACACACACCAATTAGCTTACTCTCAAAGTGAGTTTGGGTCGTGACGCACCACGCGGGTCCAGTGCGGATTGGTGGGTGCTAACGACTGCAGATGCAGCCGAGACCAACGGCTTAATGTGCCTTCCGAAGCACGGAGGAGCTCGAGATTGTAAATTTTTAGTCACCCATCCAATGACATACCACTGCGAAAGTTGCTTAACTTCAACTATCGCAGCCGAGCGCGCTAACCACTCCCGCCATCGAGCTGTAAGGTTCGCTCGTTTTTTTTTATTATTATTATTTGTCTCCAAAATTTCAGAATGTGACAGCGCCTGAATACCTGCTATAGCTTAATATGTTTGTTTTATTGTCCACAGAACATTCTTCTCACAAGTTGTCGTCTTAACGAAGCCCGCGTCAAGGTGGTAGACTTTGGTTTCGCTCGAAAAGCACCAGAGTGCGAAGATAGGCAACGAATGATGACACCGTGCTTCAGGTGAGTATCTATACATATAATAAAATGGTAGGAAAGTGTACATTGAATTTTTTTTTTAAAGAATACTTGAGGTGTGATTGGGGTTGTCACCTTTTTTTTGTCGAAATATAGTACATTGGATATTAAAGGTAGAAAAAAAGTACATTGGGTCCAAAATAAAGTACTTTTTATGTCAATTTAGTAGTAATCTTTATAATATATTTTATGTTGCTACTAGCAACTTTTAATAAATAATTTGCGGCTACTGTAGTTTTTTTCCGCAATGGGAAAGGAGATACAAAAGCATACAGCCACGAAAATGTAGCAGGAATTAGCTAAGGGCAACATATTCATACTTTCTGTCCGTTTTAAGCAAAAAATCTTCCTATCAACCTCTTTTTGTATATTTTATGTAAAATTAATCCGCGAATAATCAAATCACATTAAATAAAGTATTTTCGCGTACTTTATTGTTTGCATAAAGTATAAAGTACAATTACTCGAAATAACGTACAATACTTTATAATAAAGTACGGGTGATGAAATGAAGATGAATGAATGAAAGAAGGTGTGATCTACAATCGATACCGAAGCCAAAAATATAGTTTTTAGATTTTTTGTCTGTACGTATGTCCGGGATAAACTCAAAAAGTACTGCATGATTTTGGGTACTTCCAATTTGGAATATTATTAAGAGGTCGGTTCAACATAAAGGCTATATATTATCACGCTATCACCTACGGGGAACGAGCAGAGAAGCTTTATTTCTAACTAACTCCACGCGTGCGAAGTCGCGGGCGGCCGCTAGTTTTAAATAAACATATTATTTATCATCATCATTATGAGCTTAATAATAGGCCTATCAATGTTGAAAAATCGGTATTGCGAAAAGTTTTAAAGTTGGTAGTCAAATGTAATTCGGAATTTAAGAAATTTCACAAGCCGAATAAAAAGAGAATTTTACTAGAAAAAAATCCACGCGGACCAGGTCGTGACCCGACTGACTTGCTTCCGCGGCCCTGATGGCCGTGTCGAATTCTTTCTAGTATTTCCTAGGCTGCAAAGAAGCGCAATGTCTACGCTTTGTGGGTAACCCACAATGTCAAACGAATGCCTTTACAATGTAGTTTTATTTTTATTTTTTAAGCATTCAACTGCTAGATGTTTAAATTTGAAGAAAATTTTTCTAGAAAGAATTCCTCATACTGAACAGACCATCATGCATTGGTTAGTACCCTTAGTACGAGTTTTACAATTACGAAAACTATGATAGTTTTCGTGAGCTCGCACTCGTACTAAGGGTACTGATTTTATTGTTTTCGTTTCAATACAAATAAACAGTGTTTAAATTCTATCATTAAATCATTTGTATCTTCTTAAATTATAAGTATATTTGGTTACTTTTCACCAAAATGGACATAAAAACATAATTTACAATTACGAAAACTATGATAGCTCAAACTCGTACTAAGTGTACATACGCCCGGATAGCGGAGGACGCGTGTTCGAACCCCGTCTGCTGCCTGGTCAGAGTGGGATTTTTTCTTAGCAAGAATTTCTTTAGAATCATCTAGCATTTAAATGCTTAAAAATAAAAAATATAGGCTGAAGCAGAAAATTTTAAAAGTAAATCTATTGTTTTCTTTAAGAGTTAAAACAATCTATTTTATCGGTAGTATAATTAAATAAAATTTACTATATCAAGCTCATCCGTGCTTCGGAAAGCACGTTAAGCCGTTGGTCCCGGCTACATTTGCAGTCGTTACCACCACCCACCAATTCGCACTGGGCTCACGCGGGGTGGGTCATGGCCCAATCTCCCTATTCCATCCAAATTGAAGGCCTGTGCCCCAGCAGTCGGGACATTTATAGGCTGATGATGGTGATGATGATAATTAATCTATATATATAAAACTCAAAAGTGACTGACTGACATAGTGATCTATCAACGCACAGCCCAAACCATTGGACGGATCGGGCTGAAATTTGGCATGCAGGTAGATGTTATGACGTAGGCATCCGCTAAGAAAGGATTTTGATCAATTCTACCCCCAAGGGGATAAAGTAGGGAATGAAAGTCTGTATGAAACTTTGTCAATTTTAAACCGATCGGGCTGAGACTTTGCATGCAGGTATAAGAAGAATCATAGATGAATGTCATTGTGTATAATACAAGCCTGAGAACAAAAACTGTAGTCTACACTTCAGCTCTACACCGAAGCGAAGCGAGGGCGGTGGTGATGATGATAATTAATATTGATATAATTTGTTGCACCAGTTTGCCGTATGCTGCCCCCGAAGTAGTATCCCGGGCTCGCAGTTCCAACGCCCCCGGCTACGGACCCGCTGTGGATCTATGGAGTTTGGGAGTCATATTCGTGAGTATATTTTATTATTTTCATAATTAGAAACTTAATACAGTTATATTATAACTTAATTTCTGAAAGTTTGTGAAATAAAAAGAAAAATCTCTATTTAAATTGAAGACTCTTTTATGAATAAGACTCCGCTGTCCGTCTCTTTCACAGATGATGTATTTCTGTTGCCGCTATTACGAAATATATTAAAAACAGAATGAAATAAATATTAAAGAATTTAACAATATAGTGTCTAATGTTGAATAGATAATTTTTTTATTTATTTCTAATTACCACGGCATAATACCATTCACAGCAATTACATATATATATATATATAAAAAAAAACAAAGAATGGTACGGAACCCTTAGCGCACGAGTCCGACTCGCACTTGGCTGGGTTTCTGGGTTTTTTTTTTACTTTTCTCCCCATAACATTATATACAATGATATATGTACGTAAATTTAAAACTATATATGTAATAGCAATGTTATCATTGTTTTCAGCACTGCATGCTGAGTGGCAAGGCACCCTTCCAGCCGTCGTCGCGTAAGGAACCCATCACGGCGCTTATGGACCGGATCCGTACGGGAGCATTCACTATGGACGGTAAATATACTTTTATGAAGCTAGTAGCTGTGCCCCGCGGTATTACCCGCAGTTTATTAGGGATATTTACCCGCAGTTAAACGTAGCCTATGCGTTAATCCAGGGTGTCAGCTAACTCTACTAATAGCAAATTTTATTAAAATCGCTCCAGCCATTTAGACGTGGAGAAGTAAACAAACATACACACTCGCAAACTTTCGCCTTTATAATATTAGTGTAATTAGTATGATACATTGAGATCGGATAATATTGTACTAAAAACAAAATCCCGAGATTCCGTGATCGCATTATAACTGGATCTATATTTATTTAAAGTTTAATATTAATTTCTCATTCGAGTATTTATTTATTCGTCATCTTGCAGAATATTTTTATGTTCATTGTGTCAATCTGGGCTTGTTATATCTCACGGAGTACAGAATTTTCCAGAATCACGGGATTTTTTTGATAAAAAATGTACTTTCCACAGTAGTCAACATCTAAACTTTAGCTAAATATGCATCTAACTATGCGATGTCTACTTATAAATATACCTTTTATTTAACGAGGAAGGTGTAAATAAGCCTATTATATATATTTTTATATAGCCAGGTAAGTAAATGACTCTACCCCATCTGATGTTAAGTGGTGATAAAGTCTAAACGCGAAGATAGTTGGTACAGCAGTTATAAACTGCCACACCAACCATTCTCACCTTGCCAACCTGCAAAAATGCTTCTTCACGCCTCTCCCCAGGACCGCAGATTGTGGGAAGGAGGGAACCATAGAGGTAAAAGAATAGAGTAGGGGAGATAGATAGATTATAGATTATATATATTATATTATTATAGATTCCACTTGTAGTAGAGTAGACTACTACAAGTGGAAGTGTCCCTCTATAAGAAAGAGAAAGAAGATGAGAGACCGCTAGCTTTCTCTCTAATCGCGCGTGCGCATTGGCAACCGTAAGCTTTTTACTATTTCAATGTGATGCCATTGGATGCCATGCGTCACAAGAAAGAGAGAGATAGTGAGCGGTCTCTCATCTTCTTTCTCTTTCTACTAGACGGACACTTTTAGAGCCGCCTTCCCCACTCTATTGTTATACCTCTATGGAGGGAATACGTGCGCGGGCAAAGAATTTTTCTATTACTCATTCCAATTAATTGTGAATGATAAAGCTCCATTTAGTGAACAGATTTTAAGTTATTAATAATCCTCAATTCACCATTATATTCACCAGTAGTGCCCTCCTGGCATTTGACACCACCGTGACAGAGTTTCAAGGTGTCGCCTACTCCAGAGGTCCCGCGTTCGTGTCTCGGTGGGGGCAGATATTTGTGTGATGAATATAAGCATTTGTACTCCAGTTATGTTTAATATGTATTTCTATATAAATATACTTATATATGTATCAGTATATGTATTTTATCCGTTACCCTAGTGTCCCTTAACACAAGCCTTACACAGTGCTTACTTTGGGCTTTGGGGCTGGGCTAATTGGTGTGTGTTAAAAATATTTTTTATTTTTATTCATTTATTTCCTCTATTTTGTAACAGGTCCTGCATGGGATGGCATATCGGGTGACAGCAAGCGACTAGTGATGGGCCTTCTGTCCGTGGAACCCAATCGTCGGACCACTGCAACAGAACTATTGGCCGATCTGGGCCTATTATCCGATCCCGGTTTTAAACTAGCCGTGAGTATCTATCTAACATAAACAGCCTATCCTAGTCCACTGCTGGAGATAGGCCTCTCCAATTGCACGCCACTGAGATCGATCTTGGGCTACTCGCATCCAGCTCCTGCCAGCCACCTTGCGCAAATCGTCACCCCATCGCGCCTGAGGACGTCCTACACTACGTTTGCCTAGACGCGGTCTCCACTCCAGAACTCGTCTACCCCAACGGTTATCGGTTCTTCGGCAAATATGGCCAGCCCACTGCCACTTCAACTTGCTAATCCGGTGGGCTATGTCGATAATTCTGGTTCTCTGTCGGATTACCTCATTTCTGATGCGATCCTTCAGAGAAACGCCGAGCATAGCTCTTTCATATTGGTTTCCCACATTTTGAACAGTAATGTTTTGTTTTTCCTGCCTTTTTCTGAGTACACTCATCTTATCTAACATATTTACCAACCATATTTTTGCAACAAAGGTACCTCTAAATAATCGGCAATCCTTTGTCGTGTTTCCATTGGAAGATTGAAGTTCACTTGCCTGTTCCGAAGACTATCATTTATTAGAATTAAACGTCAATTACGAATGTAGTCTCGGCGCTTCATGATATATACGGTATTCAACATATTGTCTGTTATAAAGAGAGCTGGAGCATTAGTAATAATATTCTCAGACCGAACTCGAACGCTTTGTCTAGGACAATCTTTAGACCGTTTTGTTCCATCATTGGATTTATAACAAGTTCTATTACGGGACAGTTAATATTTTCCGGCTCTTCCAAATTATCCAAAATACCCTCTTGTTTTAAATCACTTTCTTCACTTCTCTGAGAAACGTTATCAATTTCTTCTTCGCTCTCGAAGTCACAGGAGCTAGCACTTGAGCAGTTTTCTAAAAGTTCTTGTAGCCGATGTTCATTTTCTTCATAAGACATTTTGAAAAATCGAAAAATAAATCATAACATACTACAAATAACTATAAATCAAAAACTTATTGTCAACACAAAAATGTAACACCGACTACGAGGTCGGGTATGACATACCCCAACCACGTGTACGCTCCTTTATCTACCGTCGCCGCCGGCGCAAAACTAAACTCTACACTGAACCTCGACCCTCGCACCCTTACCTCCAGCTACTGAAACGACAACACTCGCATGGCAACAGTAACATTAAATAATCTGCATTTAAAAACTTCTCGGGTATGACATACCCGACCTCACTCACGCCGGGTTAAGCAACTTTCGCGTGTTAAGCAACTTTGGGTGACCAAACATTTTCTATCTCTCACTCCTCCGTGCTTCGGAAGGCACGTTAAGCCGTTAGTCCCGGCTGCATCTGCAGTCGTTAGCACCCGCCAATCCGCACTGGGCCCGTGCGGTGGGTCAATCGCCCTATTCCATTCATAGGGAAGGCCTGTACACCAGTAGTGGGGACATTAATTGGCTGATGATGAGGATACACATCAAATATCTTTTTGAAGGCTGTAAATCTGTTTTACAACTATTTTATTTGCTACCGGAAGCTCTTGGTTTTTCCATAGTTCATAAAATCTGTGAAAATCTTACTAAATTATTCAAATATTTCAGGACATGACCAAGGCGGACCTGTACAAGCGGCGAAACAAAAACAAACTGCGTAAATCAAGCAGTTCCGAGCCCAGCACTTCACTCATTGAACACATAGACAACGAAGAACCTAAAGAAACCTCATTAATAGAGACCATAAACAACCTTAAAAACAGAATGAACAACAGCTCTATAGAGAAAGACGTGGAATTGATCAAAGCGAACACTCAAGACACTCCGGTCAACGAATCCCCGGAACCTTCCTTCGCTGACGAAGAAGATATTCCTTCGGTCAAACCTGTAGAGAAAACTTACTCAAAATCTAGATCCAAACTTGATGATTACATCTATATCGAGAGCAGTCAAGGCTTGGACGAGACAGAAGTTGCTTTCCCCAAAACTAGTCGCACTAAAAAGGGTAAAGAGCCTCAATCACCCGTACCCAGAAAACGTAGGAAATTGGACAAGCCCGAAATGAACGGTGAAAGACAGCTTCGTAGCAAAGACGATAAAAAGCAAAAGGATGTTACCACAGAGAAACGTGTGCTTAGGAATAATAGTGAGAAGGAAAAGAAACGACCCACCAAAGAGTCCATAGAGAACGACAAGACTGTCGCGACCAGAAACACGCGGAAACGGAAACACGAGGAGACCAGCAAGCCAGTTTTGAGAGAGAAAGGGCAAAACGGTCACCCGTCCTCAGCAGTGGCGACTAGAAAGATAGCTCGAGCGAAAAAGACAAAACCAACCTTAGCCCCATTGAAATTAGACGTAGAACAGAATGTCAGAATGACACGCTCAAGGAGAAGGAGATTAGAAATCAGTTTGTCTCCATCGCAAGTGAAAAGTGTTATACCAGCGTTCTCCTTCGAATCAGATCGTCGTGTCAATTCTATAGAAAGCAATCGCTCAGCCAAATCTAATAATACCAAAGCGAAAGCGCGCAACGCCAAACCAAAAGCGAATAAAGCTAGCAAAGCGAAGAAAACGCCTGTAAGATCTACTCGTTCGCGAGCCAATAGGAGGTGAAAACGTTCTACGAAAAATAAATAGACAAAGCGCCATCTGTGTACCCAAATAGACAAATTATCATAGACTGTTCTTCTAGTTAGGAATCCCTTTGTGGCGCCGAGCTGTGTTTATAAAATAAATAACCTCAAATTCCAAATAGCGAGACGATTATAGTGAATGCATAATGGACGCTTGCTCATTACTCACGTAATAGGTTAACGAAAAGAAATGATAAATAAAAATGAAACTATTATTTATTCGAGGGAGAGTAAATTATATTTCTGTGAGTATACCGCGCCTCAGTATGAGAACGAGCTACGTTAGATTAATTATTATTTTCTATTTTTATTTTTTAATCCTTTTTATTTAATGTTACTATTATTTTTTAAGACACCTTTTCCCCATATTATTAATTACCATTAGAGTTAAATACTTCAAATGTTGTTTATTATGTATTTTGATAAGAATAAAAGGATAGTTTTTAATCGGGTGTGACTGTGCACCACCATCCTCGGTTGGCTATTATTATTCATTATGGGAAATTCTGTAGGTGATTGCTGTTATCTAAAGTTAGCTTCTACCCACACATTATGCGTACCAAATGTTTAATTACGGATGCCTTAAACATGTAAACGATTATTGTACAAAAATTATAGTTTTCCGTCTGGAAACATTGAGTCATGCTTCGAGTCGGCAAACCGTGGTCCATATCTTACGGCAGATCTCTTTCCAATATAAATGAATTTAGGTTGTTTGTGTGTGTATATTTGTTTGAAATCTAGATTAATAGGTTAAATTTGTAAATGTTTTTTGAATTAATAATAAATGTAATTGATGCATCGTTGCTCCGGGGCGATTTATTGAAACTTCCACAACGTAAAGCGATGATAAAGAAAAAAGTTAAAAAAATATTATTATAATAATTAAATTTGAAAATGTCTTAAAAAAGATAACTTTTCTTTTTTTCATATAAAATATATATGGTGAAAGTGCCAAAGCATGCTGAAATTTTTTTTGGTAAATTAGTTATCAAATGCAATCTGATTACTGTTTTTCTTTAAATATTTTTTTTCTTAGCACATTCATTTTGCTATAAGCGCTTTTACCAAAAATGCAAACGATGTTTGTGTCTCCTTATTATTCCTGTGTAAATAAAAAATAGCATTTAGTACAAAATCGGTGGAAGAGTAAATATTTATTAATTTAAATAAATGAAAAGTCTAGAAATGAAAATCTCATGTCTCTTTTTTTAATGTGTTGATTGACGACTGCGCGGGACAGTTAGGCATATATAGACATCTTAACATAACATTTACGTGTGTTTTTAACATAATAGCTTAGTAGGTTTTAATGATTTTGCATTAATAATTCTGAAATTATTAAAATGCTTAGGAATAATTATAAATTATTGCGAAGAGGAGAAATGCTAGAACATTGCGAATTACAATTTATGTAAATCATTTCAGTATATAAATGTAATTTTATTTATATATTTATCGAGCATCAACATCTTTTGTTGTTTACTTTATATAGTTAATTTGTATAAAGTTCCTTTTCAATACATAGTTTGTTCATTATCCTTGTTACAGAATAACACAAATATTTCTACATATACCTACATGAATATAGTTACATAAATAATAGAACAGTTCACTTTGTTGCAATTTCTTCAGAAACCTATAGACTGCAATGATGTTCCATGTAGTTTTAGAATTAATATGCAATAGCCTAAACCATGTGCTGATTTTATAAAATATAATCAATTGGCTTGTTTACACATTTTACTACGACAAAAGCACCAATTTATAAATTTATCATATTGATATTATCTTTAAGTTTTGAATCGTTTTCTTTTCAAATTATTCGTTATGATTTCGTTTATCGAGAAATCGATTCGAATTTATAAATATTAAATCGTATTTCTTATGTGTCAAAATTTTTGCAAAGAATTGCTCACAATACCCGCAGAAATGTACGAAAAGTCGCTAAAATATCCAAGATTTATGCCTTTTGTGCATTTAGTGGGGTATCAGCTGATCATTTGTTAGGTCATCGACCTTAGCAATAATTAAATTGTTTTCCTTGTGATTGTGACCTGTCAGTTTTTGCATGAAGGTTGTGTTTCTCTTAGATGTTGAACTATTATTTCAATAGATTAATGTAAAATTTAAACATGAAAATATCACAATCGTCGTTAAATCGGTTGGTGTCTATTGTGTCCAAGCGGTCCCTTCACATGAACGGCGGATTGTGAATCCGGCGGATTGTGTGCGGTAGCCTTCACGTGAAAACGTTTGTAAAAGTGCACTTAACATGGATTGTACCAAAAGAATATATAATTTTATAATAAAGTGTTAGAAGTTTATGTGTCGGCGTCAAACAAATTTTGTAAGACGTTACAGCGGCGCCGGCCGAAGATATTGGATTGTAATAAATATACCATTTTAACATTAGTGTTGGTTTCATTGTGTGTATTGGTGTATCCTTTTTTCTTTTTGAATCTTAGTATTTCTTACTTTATCTCTCTCAGAGCAAACGTAGTCTACATCAATGCTGAGCTGTACCCGTATCACGAACCATTGTCGAATTTTTTGCGAGTGCGCCATGTCAGTGTGAAATCTTGTATGAAACTTGAACAGCAGCGCAACAAAGTACGTAACTAGAACTAAAAATCAGTACACATTAAGGCGCTTTGCAGACGGCGGGGCGGGGCGGGCCGGTCAATTTCGCCGCGAATAATAGCACAAAGTGAATCCTATACTTCAAACGCACACAGAGGGCAAAAAGACTGCGCCTTGTGTGCCCGGCGGGTAGTGGCGGCGCGGCATGTCCGCGGCTGCCCGCCGTGGATCATGCAAACCAATTTATATGCAGTAACGCAGACGGCGGCGCGGGGCGGCTAGCTCAGTCCGCGCCACGCGCTTATTAGTATGGACTATTCACTAGAACGAACGTCCTGAACTGACCGCCTCTGCCCGTCGTGTGCTTTGTGTACGCGGCGCGGGCAGCCGCAGACATCGACGGGCAGACGCGGTCTTTATTGCTTCGCGGACAAAATGCCCGCCCCGCCCCGTCGTCTGCTAAGCGCCTTAACAATGACATTTCGTAGTCGCAAACGTTATGACTTCCATAATGTTTCGTGCTAGGGGTACAGTACTTAAAGCTTGTTGATGCTTGTGACACAATCTCCAATATGTGCAATTTGGAGCCCTAAGAAATAGAGTGATTACTATAGAGTTCCATACAAGTTACCTCCAACCACCCTTGGCCTGACAAACCTTCCTATATATGCAGATCGAAGCAGCGGGAGAGACGCGTGGAATGGATCCATACATACACAAAAAAATTGACATAGATCAGTCCAGCAGCGCTACCACTTCTGATCGCCAAATCAATGTTATTTATTAGCTTCCACCCGCGACTTCGTGCTATAGTTAGTTTTTTGAATCACACAGGATCGTGTCATTTTTCCGGCATAACAACTATCCTATGTCTCATTCCAAATAATATACTGTACGTCACGGTACGTATGCCAAAAAACCAAATTCGTTCAGCTATTTTATGTGAGAGAGAACAGACATAAAATCTAGGTACACGATTTTACATGATATTACATACATGTCTACATTTATAGTAAGCAGGGCTGTTTTCATTTTGATGATGGGTAAAAACTAAAATAATGCTATTTTGGACCCAAAGTAGTTGACCAATGTTGGTGCTATAGGCTGACGCCAGTTTAGCAGTAAAAAAATTTGTTCGGCGAGCGAACGGTATGGCATCTCCATTGGTATATGCTCTAAGGTCTACAGTGCGCGATTGATTGTGGTCTAAAATGAAATTTTCAAACATGTTCCTGACTACAATAGGGAAGATGCAATATTTTTATTTTTGTTTTCATTTTAAAGAATTCCATGTAGAATAAACCACAGATATATTAAAAAATTAAAACATTGTGATTTATCGGAAAAAATGCGGTTTTAAATTGACAATTTAAATTTTCGCGCGAAAACGAACCTATGGTTGCGATGACGTCACTCCTGTCTGTCACTGGTCGTAATTGTTCGTTGCTGGCTTTAAATTTTCATACTTTTGCATATTTTTTCGACTTTCGAAATATTTTTTTGAAAAATTTAAAATGGACTATCCATCAACATCATGTGATCATAACAATACCACTAATATTCCGAAAAAAAGCCGTGTTGACTCATGTTTTGTGCCAATCTACTTCAACAATGTTCCCAAATAAATTGTTTTTGACTGGAACTTCTGACTCAAAACTGAAAAAAGTGGTTTCAAGCTGCGAAGAGAAATGACAATTATTCTCCAAAGACCATTATTCGATGCTGTGAAGATCACTTCGACGTAAGTCGGCGAATATACTTGTTATATGCTTAATTAATCTGCTTGTACGTAAAAACGCATTAGTAACCTACCTAATACTTACAAAACCTGTCTATAACATATTTTTAATTTTACAGTTGGAGAATGACGTCGAAAATTAGATAAAGTTTAAAATGTGTGGCACAATCTTCACATTGGCAGGACTGAACCAAGCTTTGCGTTTCATTTAAAATAACTGTAACACGATAACCTTCTTTACGTACTTTGTGCTCCGGAGAACTCGACCTTTTACTGTACATAAAGAGATGGAAACTCTTTTAATATGGACATAGCCGATAACATTATCACCGTAAGATTTGTAGAAGCCGCTGAATAAAATACGAAGTTTAACAACTACGATTTTTACATACCGTAGTAATTTAGTCCCTTTCATTTCTACACTTAAAAACTCTGCACTTAGGACAAAAAAAGTTATAAACATGTCAACGCTAACTCTTGGTAAATTCCTGGAGTCTGCTTTGATAAACGCAACTTCCATTTTTATTAAATGTAAAAAAACGCAATAAATATTCCCAAAAAATAATATTTACTTTAACAACCATAACCTCAAAGAAGTTGTCATAACAGGAGTGACGTCACTAAACGCTGATTGGTGTTTTAAAATACGTTCCGTTTCAAGTATTTTTAATTCGTAATAATTGTTAAAAAACAACATTATGTAAAATAAAAACGTTGCAGTGGCATTTCTTTTATATTTTTTTAACATTTTAATCATAAAATTTTCATAAATATTATATATGCATCTTCCCTATTTTTATACTGGTCACTTTATTGTAAATAAGTTGTATGGACTTAGCTTTCTTTGCTTTTGCTAAACAAAATAAATTCAAAACGTATCTATGGTGAACCATAAGCAACAATTATTTTTTTCTTAAATACCTCCAATATAATTGCCATACTGAAAAAACTATTGTAATTAGTAGTTTATATTCTGCGAACGGACAATATTTTTGGCAAAAATAATTTATAAAAATTGATAATAAAGTTTCACTCATTTAAGTTATTTTTACAGTTTTGATATCAAGTTTATTGTCTTGTTTTTAAAATTTCTTCAATTTATACTTAAATAAAAAAATATACATTTAAAAACTCTAAAATCACGAGTACAGGCTGGCTCTTAGGCTTAGCACTGTTTTTATGTAATTATCAATTCAATTCAAATGGGTAATTTATAAAAAAATCCTTCGAATACTGATGCTAGTTAATTTCTTTTTTAGTTTGTCAATTCGTAAGCCAATTCCGGGATATGATTGTTATTTTTTTTTAATTCTTCTAAAATATTCATGTAATTAAAAATCGGAAATCATAAATTATGCTTGCAGTTCAAGAAATATATACAGATCTTAGGTTATTTGACATCTTTTTAATAACGCCCTAACATTTTGTTTACTAATTATAATAGATTCCAGAAAAGTGATTATTTACAGTGTTGCATCGAATGTGGGTCCTGCAGAATATCGAATTTAGCCGAATATTGGATTGAAATGTGTGCTGAAGCCGAATGTCGGTTGATGTTCTGCCGAAATTCGTGTACATTTTTCTCAATAAACAAAATGGCTAAAAATATTGTTACGTGTCGGGATGGGGTTTGAAATTATCTGCCAGTTCATGCTTGACAGTTATTTATTCACCACAAAGTTCACACAATTAACACACAATGCTAATTACAAAACACTCACTCAGTGGCGGACTAACAGGGGGGCGGAAGGGGCGGCCCGCCCCGGGCGTCCGATCTTGGGGGGCCCCCAAATGTCTCTGAATTCCCCTGATCAGAACCTAAACATAACTTTAAAAATGTTAAGAAAATATAACTTGAAAAAATTCCATGCGGACCAGGCAGCAGACGGGACTCGAACCCGCGCCCTTCGCAATCCGGTCGAAAGCATTGATCAATTATGCTACCGCGGCCAGAGTTCAGTAAATTGAAGGCACGAAAACACATATAAACGCTACCAAAAATTAAAAAAAAATCTTTGATTTAGTTTAGTATTTTTTTTGTCGATGATTCGTATTTGATTTTCCTACCCATATCTGTGAGGGTTTGCTTATATGAAAAGACTTTGTGAAACAAACATTGTTATATAATTAACGAATTACAATCAAGCATTGACAAGATATAATATAGTAATCTTTGTTGACGTACAAATTCGTTTTTGGTTACTCTCTTTATTGACAGCGTTGTGCCAGTACTCACAATATCCATTCCATATTGTAGGTATGTATGTTTATTTTGCCGAAATAATTTAATTCTTATTTAAATTTCATTTGCCAGATTTAACGAAATAAACATAGGAAACTATTTTTTTTGAAGCTGGGGGCCTCATTCTGCTTTGCCGCCCCGGGCCTCTGATTGGCTTAGTCCGCCACTGCACTCACTAAACACTGTATTTCACTATACCAGTCTCTTAACTATCGCACTTGAACACTTTTGTCGCACTTTGATCGCCTTTGGATTCGCTCCGAAATCGCTGTTGAAACTCAACTGTCTCTGCGCGGCGCCAATCGCGCTTATATACATCAATCGACGCATTCTAGAAAGTACCTGTTAAATTGAGAATTAGCTAGCACCCGCGAGTACGTAGTACCTACTTATACCTACGCAGGTAACGCGCATAACTTGTAAACAAGTGCAGATGTCGTTGCACTTTCTCCCTTACACCGCACTGCATAAGGCTCATCGCGACCCGCGGTGATCTGGCAAATTCGATCCGTAGCACTTTCGCGGTTACGTTTCGAGAGCGTTTGTAAAAAAATGGATTCTGCCTATCAAATATACAAATAGATTTTATAAACATGAATGCGAGCGTAAGTATTTTTAATTGTTTAAATAATCTAGTACTATGTTAACTGAGTGACCCCATAGCATCAATCTCTCCCTTCGAAGAATACTCCCCTGTGTGTGGTATACTTTTCCATTTCATTTTGATAAATAATTGATATTCTTTTATTTAGTGCAATAAAAACAAACACGATCATCAACGTTTAACCTATTTAGCTTACAAATCAACATTTGATCAATGTTCATTTTAAATTTTTGTTTTTACTTTTCCATTTTATTTTAATTTAATTGAAGCTACTGAATTTCGAACGACATTTGGGAGATTTAAACAAATTTCGGTGGAAGACGAAGTTCGGTCAAAGCTGCTAAACTTCGGTAATATCGAATATGAATCGAATTTACACACTTCATAAAAGTTAGAAAATAGGTGGCTGCTCGGTTAGTTATTAAAAATATACTTGTTGTCATTTATATGTGGAGAATTATAAATGGTACCTACTTTAGTTCCCTAAATGAGAGAGCGAGAGAGAGAGAACCATTTTATTGACCAACAAAAAACACAACAAATAATTAAACTTAAATAAGTAATTGTTGTGAGTTTCCTGAAATCAATTATTATTTACTCACCACCAAAATCAATCAAAACGATGGGAAAATTTAATTTGCGTGATGAGACTGGCGAGATATTTTTTTGTAGTAGAAATCTTAAATTGACTGCTAGCAACATTATTTTTAGCACTGTGGCAGACGTCAGATAACCATGTCGAGTTTTGTGTTGTAAAATTAAAATAAATTTGTCGACGTTATGTATTATTAATTTTATTATGTGAATAATGAGATGAAAGTGTAAATAGATTTTAGATTAGTGTTCGCTAGTGATTATGGCGCATAGTGGTAGTGGTGTTCTGAGTTCAGATATATCGCGCAGAAACCCACAAGATGAATATGAGCTCATTCAGAGGATTGGATCAGGAACTTACGGAGATGTGTACAAGGTAGGGGTACCTTTCTAAATTTTGTTTTTTTCTGTTTCAATGATGAGCGCTACGGTGAATCACTCTCTCTGCACAAGTGACACAACTTTTCTTGGTCCAGTGCACTCATTAATTCCAATGTCATTTTTTTTAGTTTAACTTAACATTGTTCACACGAAATCTCTTTTATCGTTACATGCATTTGTTATTGGCGATATTTTTTGTTATTACATAAACGTAGTGCACATAAGACCTTGAATAAAAAATGAAATGTTACCAATAACAACTGGACTACACCCTAAATAAGACTACTTGATGATTCTTTGTCTACAGCTGTTTTTTGATTAGGTAAATAGAACTAGGAGCATTAGATTTTTAGAAAAATTAATGGTTTAAAGACAGGGAGTTGTTAAATTAACAAAGGGACACTATTCAATAATTAGCTAAGATTTTGACAAATAATAATAACCAAAAGAAAAGATTTAGACTTAAAACCAAAAGAAAAGCCCTGAGAAAAGCTAAGAATAACTATTAGGCATTCAAAATTTTAATTCTCTAACCTGTTTTATGCTTAAATAGGAAGTAATATAAAATATTTTAGTTAAATGTTATTTAAAATGATATTTACCTTGTAAACTGTGCTTTGGGAAGGATTTTAATTTATCAGTGTTTGTAATATATAGTTAAAAGCAGTTGTAGTTAAGTTAGGAATTGATGTCAACAAACTAGACTTAAATTTGGATAACTATAGTATGAATGACTCAGTCTTAATACCTCACTTCCTCTTTGCATTCCTGTTTCCCAGACACTATATTATTTAATATTAAATCAATTAGTTTTTGTTTTCTTTATTAAATATCTTTATTTTTATTAAAATCTATGCACAAAGAAAAATTTTATAAGGGAGATTTAATATTTATTGTTTATAAAGTCAAGAAAAATAAGTTTAAATTTAATCAATATTTCATTTGTCATTAGAAAATTATACAAGCTTTTATGAATTATTAGCAGCTGATTTCTTTTGCATTAACTTTGGTTTTTGGACAATCCCACAGGAACCTAACATTTTTCCAGTATAAAAAGTATTGTATGTCTCAATATTTAGTTTGTTGACAATCCTACAGGCACCTATCATTTTTCAAGTATAAAAAGTATTGTATGTCTCAATAGTTAGTTTTTTGTCAATCGCACAGGAACCTAACATTTTTCCAGTATAAAAAGTATTGTATTCCTCAATACAGTAGTGCAGTCAGTAGTAATTGCATGATTAAATAACAAACACATGAACTACATTTATAATATTAGTTTAATTATGTCCATTGTTGGAGAGTCTTGTAAGCATTCAAGATAGTTGTAAACTTCTGGGGAGTACTACCTATATATTATATGTAGCCTCATTATTATTAACACACATTTTTGTGCATTGTTACCACACAATAACGCTCCATTTCCCCGCAACTGTGCCAACAGGGGCCTCTGCCCATTGTTTTAGCTGTGCAAGTGTTATTATGTCACCAAGGTTACCATAGATTGGTGTTATTCCTTATTATCCTACAAAACTTATTTGGTCATATTTAAAGTTTTGTCTGCTTCAATATTATAAGCTGTGATCATTATGTTTTTGCATTCCAACTGGTGTGTACTTTTGTTGAAAAGGCAAGTTGAAAATGGTTCGTTAAATTAATAATTATTGACTCTTATGCTGTTTGTAACCATAATTTTATTAAGTAAAATAGTTTCCTCTTCAGTAAATTCTTTTTCTATTATAAAGACTTATATCCTTTTATAATTCTAAGGATACAGATATTGCAACTGTAAAAATGATTATCTATAGATCATAAATAATCTTCTTCTAAACTCATTCTATTTAATTAATCAATTTTTATTTTAAATGAAAGTATTTAATGTTATGAATGAAGGAGTGGCTAATGAGGTGACAATTGATTATAGATATTATAGAAATTAATCTGAAATTAATTTGTTAATTCTTCATGAACCATTTTGTAACCAGTCTGTACAGTTTATGAAAATATAGTAGGTATTGAATTTAAAACAATGATTTTTTGTTCTGGATTGTTTTTTTGTACTTATCAATTTTAAAATATCATGGCAGTTCTATGATGGGGTCTGATTAGTGGAATTGATCTGTGCTGTATGTGGTTACCATTAGCACAATTATGTTACAGTGTTGATTCATCTCATGCTTGACCTTTTCCATTAAGAGTTTAGTTGTTAATTTCCACTGAAAAATAATCTGTTTAATTTTTTCTTATGGTTTTCTTTCTCAATTGTTTAGTTTCAAAGTAATGGATTACTAAGAAAAAAAAAAACAGTGAGAAATTTATATTATTATAGTAAATTTTTTGAGTGTATTTAATATTTTTTTCCCTGATAATGGGATATTCATATATATATGCCTAACAAATGTTACACAACATATTTGTCATAGGCTGGGTGGATATAATAATATGATTTTAAGTAGCCTTTATTTCATAGCTTTTGTAATTATCACAATTCGGTATTATGATAATTAAATGCATGAAATTAAATTGTATTTCCATTTAAATTGGTAATGTTTGGGAAATATCAGTTTGGGGTAAAATTCTAAAAATAAAGCCTGTAATATCTTGCTATATGATTATATTCTATAGAAACAATATTATGGTAGTCTTATCTTATCAGTATTTTATTGATTGATCGCTGCGCATCTGTTATCTTATAAAGATTAGATCAATTTGCACAAGCCTAAAAGCCAATGCAATATAATGGAACTTGGTGTGATCTGATGTTTATTTCTGGTTACCTACATATTTTATGTAAAAACAATTAAAAAATTCATTTATTTTGTATGTTTACATGCACACCACACAATCAATAAAACTACTTTTCAACGGGTTTATTTTTTTTATATATTACTAGGTAGGCAAATGACTCTACCCCACCTGATGTTAAGTGGTGATAAAGTCCAAACGCGAAGATAGCTGGTACAGCAGTTATTAACTGCTACACCAACCATCCTCACCTTGCCGGCCCGCAAAAATGCTTCTTCACGCCTCTCTTAAAGGACCCCAGATTATAGGAAGGAGGGAACACGTGCGCGGGTAAAGAATTCCACTTACGAATAGTACGACAAAGAAATGAGTCGCCAAATTTCTTTGTTCGTGTAGGAATAGTGGCCACAGTAAGTCGATGGCAACGTAGGCCAGCGCGCGTGGTCCTCTGAAGAAAAGGTGATGGAGGGATAAGCAAGAATAGCTCCTCAGAACACTCGCCGTGGTATATTCCGTAGAATGCGCTTAATGATGCCACATCACGGCGTAATTGTAGAGACTCGAGTTTCTTAGTTGCCTCTTCATCGCCAATGATGCGGGCAGCGCGCCGCTGCAACCTATCCAAGGCATCGAGTAAGTACTTTGCGGAGCCATCCCAGAGGTGCGAGCAATATTCCACGCAGGACCGCACTTGTGTTTTGTACAACAAGCACAGTTGATCGGGCGTGAAAAAACGCCGCACCTTGTTCAGGACTCCGAGTTTGCGTGAAGCTGTTTTGATCAACGTTTCGATGTAGTCCTTTGGATTCAGGTCTGAGCGAACTTCCATACCGAGCATGGTAATATTGCTCTGTAGCGCCAGTGTTGTGCCCTGAAGAGAGGGAAGGGGAAGGAATGGCGATGTTTTTGCCGTGAAAGCGCAAGCCTGAGTTTTCTTGGCATTGAACTCAACCAAGTTCCTAGTACCCCATTCGGAAATGTGGTCTAAAGCCCGATTGAGCTCAACGACAAGATTCTCCCGTTTCTCCATGGTTTCTACCTGTCCAGCCGCCGCGTGTCCAAAGTATCTCGCATGCACTGTGCTATCGTCTGCATAGCAATGAATATTCGCAAGTGGAATCAAATCATTGATATGCAGCAGAAAGAGTGTGGGGGATAGAACGGAACCCTGAGGAACACCGGCATTCACTGACATGAACTGCGAACTACATCCGTCCGTAAGGACGCGAATTCTACGCTCATGCAGGAAGTCAGCTACCCAGGCGCAGAGCTGAGCAGGCAGACCGTATGCAGGAAGCTTGGAGAGAAGGCTCTTGTGCCAGACCCTGTCAAAAGCCTTGGCGATGTCAAGGCTAATAGCCAGAGACTCTCCCCGCTTGTCTATAGCTTCACCCCAGATGTGTGTCACGTACGCTAGAAGGTCACCCGTCGATCGATTCGGCCTAAATCCGTATTGACGATCGTGAATTAGAGAGTAATCTTCTAGGTAGCGGGTCAGATGGTTGTTAAGGACCCTTTCTAAGACTTTACACAACACTGAGGTGACAGCTATCGGCCGATAGTTGGCCGGGTCTGAGCGGTCCCCTTTTTTGGTCACCGGTTGCACATTGGCGTCTCTCCAAGCTTCCGGCACACGCCCCAAAGAGTAAGAGAGTTGGTACAGTCGCGTAAGCACGGGAGACAACTCCGCTGCACAATGTTTTAGAACAACTGCTGGGATGCCATCGGGTCCACTAGCTTTCCGGACGTCGAGTGATTGCAATTCCGCACGAACATCACGCTGCCTGATTTTAATGTCAGGCATCGTAGTGCCACAATGAGGTAGTGTAGGTGGCAGTGCATTGCAATCACTGATTCGGGAGTTAGCCGCAAAGAGCTTTGCCAACAAATCGGCTTTCTCTTGCGGCTCATGAGCTAGTGACCCATCTGGACATCGCAGAGGTGGCAGCGAGGGCTGGCAAAAGTTGTGTTGCACGGCCTTAGCCAAACGCCAAAAACTACGGGAGCCCGTAGGGTGCGTTAACAATTCGTGGCCAGTACGTGCTACACGTTGGGCATCCGCTCTGATGTAAGCCTTCTTACAAGACTTGGAAGCACTAAAACGCGTTTTCAGGTTTCTGTAGTCCTGACAAGAAACCTTTATAGTTTCTTACTATACGTATGTATACTTGGATACTGTTTGCCCTAGAGAGCTGTAATATTGTGGAGGTAAGTACAATATCAATCACGCCGACAAAGTGGTAGAATAAA